GCTTCTGCGCCACCCATTTTGTCCTCAACCCGTAGTCTATAGTCGATGGTCCCGTTGGCAAAGATGGACTCGTCGCTCCAACCGTGCCATGACAACAGCTTGCCTCCAGCGTCGCGAAAGCCGCTAAGGTCTGGGTCGTCCGTTCCAATGACGTCTTGAAACAGGACATTCGACAGAGTCAGCAGCTCGTGTGCATCGCTCGGCGCAATGGTCTTCAGGTCGAAGGAGCTGTTGCGCATAATGAAGTCGCGCACCCAGGTGCTGCTGATGGACGCCGGCGAATTCTGTGCCAGCTTCCTGAAGCTGGTGCCCGGTGCGATGCCGTGGAATGCCCTGGTGCCGTTTGGGAAGACTGGTCCAGTCGTTATGTTACGCCACATGGCGACGTGTTTGTCGGTTATCTCTACGGAGCTGGAGTCGCCTGTACAGCGAGTTTGCTTTCCAATGAGGCTCTCTGGATCAAAAATGTTCAGGCACTCGCTTGGGTTGCTGATGACCCCATCGTCAGCTCCATCAAGTCTATCGCAAGCTTTCATCGAAGCATTCCCGAAATTCTCCCACACACAAGGCGGTGCGAATTCCCCAGCAGCTGCCTGGACGAAGAACGGATACAGTTGCGCAATGCGGAGGCTTGCATAGTTGATCGCTGGTGCACTAGCCAGAATGCCGTCGTAATCCTTTGGATATCGCTGTGCTTCCATGTAGCCCTGTCTGCCGCCGGTAGAACAACCGCTCCAATAGGCGTGCCTCACAGGCGTGCCGTAAAATTGTTCAGCCAAAGCTTTTCCAACGAGCGTCATCTCGTGAACGGATAAGAAGGCAAAGTTCCGGATGAGTTGCTCGTCATCCGCCCAGAGAGACCCGTCGGATGCATTGGCAGGAAGACCGGCATCAGTCACACCGCTCACGGAACCCCTCGCCGCAGCTGTGGCAATCTCGTTGTCGAATTGCCCTGCCATCAGACCGCTGCCTCCGTTGCCTTGATAACGGCCTGTCCAGTTCTTCAGAGGTAGGTAGTGCTGGATCCTTACTCGATCGTCGGCGCCATTGTGCGTCAGGAAGACGTTGACCTCGCAGACGTCTGAAATGTTGCTTCGAATGGTGTGTGCGTTGAATTCGACCACTGTGGCATTTTCGACATGGGGGGCGACCAGAGATTCGCAGGTGATATTCGATGCTGACGCAACTTCAAAAGCGAGAGCCATTAACGGGATGTGGAAAAGTCCCATGTTAAAGTGCTCAACAATATCGATAGCAATAAAGTCGAGCTGACAATTCGGGTCGCAAGGTATAGAATGTAAGCCCACGGACTCGTTCACAAACACACCTCCTTATATAAAGAAGTCAGGCCTCCAGAAGAGAAGCTGCAGAGTCGTCAGCCTGGACTCTAACTAGCGACTCGAGAACGCACCAAGTGGCCGATTGACCGAGAATTCATTATCAGATGACCCTCTCCCGAACAACGAGCTTGATTCCACATGGCACATTCCTGTAGGGCTCTTTCTGACGTGAGCCAAGCAAGGAAACCATCCACCTGGAATGCAGCCCGGCACTTCCCCAGCGGGACTTGATGGGCCAAGCACGATTGATCACATTCTCAAAGTATCAACTGCAGTGGGTATCATCACCTGTTCGAGGTATTAACTATCGAAATCATCCAGTCTCACCACAGCACTCCATCGTATGCTGCAACATTCTCATGACCGTCATGCCATGCGAGGGTCCTCGTGATACGAAGTCCTCACCATTTCCACCCTCTTCAAAACGCCCCCCTCCTGACACTTGACCTTGACATCCAGATCACTATCGCTGCCGCCCAGCGATCCATGCACAATGCACTGCTCGTCACTCGTCCTAGCATCCAAAGTCTCCTTGCCGGCGCTAATGGACACTTGCTGCTGATTTCGCACACCGGCGCGCCAGAATCCGGGATTTTGATCCTGGCGGCTGACATTGGAGAGGTTGTAGCCCTTCTGGCCGCTCGGCGCGTCGGCCATGTAGTATGTGTTCTTGCGGGTCGAACCGAAGATGCGGGGGAAGAGCTTGGCCAACGGCTGCTTGAGGACAGGCAGACAGGCGCTGATGATGCCGAGATTCGCCTCGACGAGGGTCCACATGCCGCGCTCGATAAAGTTCCACGTCATGTCCTCCTTGTTCTTCAGCGAATTCTGCACGGAAGTCGTACGGAGGATCGAGGTGACGGTGACACTGGGGCACTGTCAGCAAGGCTTGCCAATCCAAAGGCAAGTCGTCTCGTTCAAAGGAGCAGCAGTGACTTACAAGGCTCCCAGCATGAAGATGCCGCACAACAGCATCTTGTCGCGCTTGCCAAGCTGCAGGGCCAGGATGGATGGGATGGGCAGAGCGAGCACCATGACGTCGGTCAGGATGTTCATGACGGCGTATGCGATCCAGAACTTGTTCGAGTCGATGCACTTTGCCTCGATGGCCTTGTTCCAGGCGCCCGCTATGGGGACGCATTGCCAGATGGTGGCGCCAACGCCGCCGATGCTCCAGGCGACAACAATGCCCATGACGACAAAGGCCGAGATTCGGAAGCTCTGCGTGACGAAGATGCGCAGATAGAGCAGGATCGCGGCCACCTTGTTGAGGCAGACGGTCACCTTGTAGGGCGTCTGGGCGATGAAGAAGAGCTTCAGGGCGTAGCGCAGTTGGGGTTTTGGCAGGTCGAGCTTGTGCATGCCGTAGCCGTTTTCAATGGCAAGCTGCATGGCGACGGAGACGATGATGGACGAGGCCTACATGGTCAACAGTCAATAAAGGCTCCTCAGTGGGACGACGATAGTCATGTTGGTGGCTGTACTGACCAGAGACACGACAACGGCAAGATCATCCCATCCCAGTTTGAAAAAGTAGTAGCGCGTCGTGCATCGGGCGATCACGAACAGGCCAGCCGATATGATCATGACGAGTGATGTGATGTACAGCTTCCAGCCCTGGTTAGGGACGCCGTCGTCGGGGAATCCCATACCGTAGGGCCCCATGGCGAAGGTAAGCTCAGACCAAGCAAAATGGTGGAGGTAACGTAGGAACAAGACGAAGACTTAGAGATTAGCGAGACGGGCTTTAACGTCGCAGACGGGCACCAACACCCAACAGACGGTAAAAGGGACGACGGTCTGAGTCGGATGAAACTCAACGGCAGTTGGTGTGGAACCATGGTATATATCTTATGGCTCGGGTCAGAAAGAACAGCCTGATATTTCCCCCCTCATCAGCAACGCCCCTATGCACACTTTTGCCCTGCAGCAGCAATTCCTGCATTTCTCCCGACGCTGTCGGAGCCCTTGCTTTCTTGGCCTTTACAGATGGTGGAATCGTGGCAGGGGCTTCGGAGGTCTGTCTGAATGCCACGCTAGAGGGCGAAGCTAAAGACCGTTTGGGGTATCTCCCGAGCGGCAGAAACATCCCTCAAATCCCGCTGTGGCGGGTTTCTGATGCGCCCGGGTCATCCGGGGCGCGGGCTTCGACTTGCCGACAGCGGCAGGCTAGAGATGTCAGAAGGATACCATACCAGCTGATATCTGGTCGACTCCTGTGGTGGTGGCACATGTTTCGACCTGATGTGGACATCCGCATCTCTCTTGGGAGCAGATCTGCAATTGCTGTGCTACAGGGCTACCACGCCAACACGTGTGTGGGAATGAACTGGTGATCTTAGACATTGGGACGAACTGCCCCTGACTCAACATGATGACCATCAAAGTCGGTCCACGTTCTGCAGGGTCCTCGAGTGGCGACTCCTCGGGACTCACTGGTGACTGAACTTGATAAACTTTTGGGCAGCAAAGGCACATGGCTCTCGTTTCTGACGAGTCTGATTCTTATGTTCTTGGCATTGAGCTCGTACGGGCGACACGTCCTCCTTCGTCGTGCCATTGTACCTGACCCTCCTCCGCTCGCACAGTACCAAGGGGCCGGGGTAGAGAGCAGCGGTTGAAAAAGTGGCTTGAACCTTGGGGCCTTGCATGGGAGTTTTGGGTGAAGATCTACCGAATTGACGGAAGCGAAGCCTATCAAGCCAATGGGGCCGTGGGGGGATATCGTGCTGCGACTCGCGCGCTGCCTCGAGCCCCTGTCCCTGGATCGGGCGGTGCTCTCGGATTCTGCAGGCAGAATCTCGCTTTTGGCCTTGTCCAATTCCGCCAGGTCCCTCGACTCGATCATGAGAAAGCGAGGGATGTATTCAAAACGAGGGGACGGCACAGGTGGGGGGTAGCATTGATCGATGCTCGGGCTGGGGTGGAAGCTTGTTGTGTGGAACTTTGTCCGTGGCCTCCAGCATTGACAGGCCCGAGAAATGCTTCTAGGGTGCTCAAGGCTCAAGGGCAGAAGAGGTGGTGCTTGGCATGCTTCGCCACATACAACATGGGACCTTGGTCTTACGATACTGACTTCCAACTTATACCTGAACAAGAAGGAAACAAGAAGGCGTCTTGTCTCTGCGGGGTTAGCGTATTGGACAGAGTCTGTCTCAGCAAGGCCTAGAGTCAACACCATGTGCCAGCTTGCAACGCAGAATATCTACTGCTCTCACCTGCTTGTACTGTAAGCAGTCATCTCTGGTTGTAAGCAGTGATCTTCAATGTGGCTTTCAAGGATATACGCTTACATGATGCCACGGACCCAGTCCTAAGCCCCGTCATCAAGGACGTTTTGCCTCTTTCGATGCAATTTCCACCGGCCGGGGGCGACACAACCACGCCATTCCCCTCCAACAGCAGGGCACGTCCAGTAAGAACCACCAACAGTTCGCATGCGAAGAACAAGGTTGTGGTGATTCGCAAAAACGGCGCCCCACCAATCAAGCCAGATATTAAATACATGGCCGAAGCGCACGATTCACACGGAGTCGACCTGGTCGAGCAGGATACCCGTTGCGCGTCTTCCCTCTGTCAATCCCCCCTCGGCCGCCTAGACAAGGCCAGGTTGAGTGAGACGGCCAAAGGACCCAGTTCACAGCCCACATCTTGTCTATTATGGTTTCATTTTCCCCGGTACAGGCCCTCAGCGTGGCGCTGGCCTTCTGGGTCAGTTCGGTCGCCGGTACTGCTTGTAACCCTCGCGGGTACCTAACAGTAGCAACGACAAACGGACCTGTTACTGGCCACCTTGCCCCCAATGCTTCGTGTGTTGTCGAGTACCTGGGCGTGCCCTATGCGAAGCCTCCCGTGGGGGACCTGAGGTTTGCGCCGCCCCAGAAAATCAGCGCCCGCAATGCGTATGAGGCTGCCAACTTTGGCTTCGACTGCCCGTTGTCCGCGGCGCCGACGCCAGACTTCCCCGGCTTCACGCCGCAGGCCCGTCGCATCGTCTCCTTTTTCGCCTCTGGTGCGGGCACGCCGCAGAGTGAGGACTGTCTGACGCTCAACATCTGGGCGAAACCCACGGCACGGTCGACGAGGGCAGCAAAGCCCGTTGTCGTCTTCTTCTACGGTGGACGTATGTAGCCCATCTTCTTCTTGCTCTCCCTCCATCCTGTTGGTGGCCCCTCATGTCTGACACATCCCAGGGTTCGCCATTGGCAACACCAACAGCCCCTTCTACACGGGCAAGTACTTCGCTGAGGCCGAGGATGTCATTGTCGTGACGGTCAACTACCGTCTGAACATCTTTGGTTTCCCCGGCATCCCCGGCCAGCCGCAGAACCTCGGCCTCCGCGACCAGCGGGCAGCCGTCGAATGGATCCGTGACAACATCAAGCGCTTCGGTGGCGATCCCACCAAGATCACCATCACCGGCCAGTCCTCAGGCGGCGTTGCTGTCGACTACTGGACCTACGCCTACCGCCGCGACCCCATCGCCAACGGCATCATCGCGCCTTCAGGCAACGCCTTCAGCTTCCCCGTCAACGCGCCCGGCGTTCCTCGGCGCAACTGGGAGACGGTCGTCAGCGCTGTGGGTTGCAGCTCGGCCGCCGACGTCCTCGCCTGCATGCGTGCCGCCGACTGGCAGGCCATCCGCACAGCTGCCGCCGCCGTGCGCCCGACCGCCAGCAGCAGTGTGCTCCGCTCGATCCCGCCCTTCTACCCGACGCCCGACGGCACTCTTGTCTTTGAGGACTACGTGTCGCTGACGGCCGTCGGCTCCTTTGCCCGCCTGCCGGTGCTCCTCGGCAACACGGCCAACGAGGACGGCTACTACCGCATCCCGGCCTTCCGCGCCGGCACCGTCCCCACAGACGCCCAGGTGACGGCCTTCCTCCTCGAGTCCTTCACCTGCCCCGTCTCCCACCAGGCCGCCGCCCGCGCCGCCCGCGCCGTCCCCGCCTGGGCGTACCGCTACCTCGCCGACTGGGACAACACGCGCCTCTACCCGACGAGTGGTGCCTACCACGGCGTCGACCTGCACATGATCTTCGGCGCCTCCGCCGACACGAGCGGCCTGGCGACGACCGCCGACCAGGAGGCGCTGACGCGCGTCATGCAGAGCGGGTGGTTCGCCTTTGCCGACGATCCCTGGCGCGGCCTCACCAGGCTCGGCTGGCCGACCTTTGACCGCCAGACCAAGTCGCTGCTGCTCCTGGGCGAGAACAACTCGCCTGTGCCGAGGCTCGTCAAGCCGTCCGAGTTTGACGCGCCGTGCTCGACCGTCACCCTGGGCGCTCTAGGAACGCCGTCGTCGTAAGGGTCGTGCTTGAGAGTGTTGGTGCTACATCGCATATAGTCTAGTACGTACATAATGTATAAATACAAAACTCCTCGACTGAAATGACTCTTCTCGTTGTCTGTGTCATGGTGCTCATGCTTTGCCTCGCCACTCATTACTATCTGTGAAAAGTCGAAGCCTCATACCCTTTCTCCGGCGGCCAGAATACTAGTGAACTGCACGACATCCCCGTCACACTGACAATCACCGATGCCCAGGTGTTCAGGCGTATCAGGCTCTTCGGACGCTGGTCCCGTGCCGCGCCCGCTCGTCGCCCTGCACACACCATGCTCGCTCAGCGACAAAAGCGTCGCCCTCCTAGACTTGTCCGTCACCTCAAACCGAGCATCGACCCCCAGAAACACGACGCATAGCCAAACGAGTCCTGGCCACCGTACACGCCATCGCCGATGCCGTCGAAAAAGGCTCCCCACCCCTCGAGTCCGTGCCCGGTCCGGCACGCTTCGGCGTTGCGGCACACCCGGTCCATGCCAATGCTCCAATAGTGCATCGCCATCATAGCATCGTGGCCGAGTAGCTTGGCGGTCCAGCTGGCTGCCAGCAGAGCGGTACAAAAATCAACAGTAACGATCGAACCCGCGCGAGCCCCTGTCGGCGCGGAGCGGGCTGCCGTTCCGTTCTCCTGGCCGGTGGAGACGAGGCGCAACAGGTCGGTGATGGAGTTGCCCAATGTCCTCAAGACACATGAGAGCCGGGTCGCGAGACGGAGCATGGCCGAGCCTCCGTCGGCCATGACGCTGATTATCTGCCCGAAATCTGGCCCGGCGTCTTCTCCAACGTCTCCGCCGCAAAACCCCTTGCGACGACCGATATCGAGAGCCGCCCGGATGGTCCGACTCTGAAGTTTTCGTGGAACCCGTCCGGCAGGCTGTGGAGGTTCCTCGCGGCGCGACACATCCAGTAGTGGGCGCAAACTCTCGACACGTCTCAAAAGGCTAGCCGCACGCGCCAGCAACGGTTTCGCAGCGGAGGACGCTCTCAGTCTGGCCGTCTCTCGCGACCTTGCTGTCCACGTGATAGAGCTGGCGCAATGCGCCCTGGGTTCTGATAAAGCCATCGCTGGATGAGAGGTGTCATCGTCGAGAGAGTTCAGGAAGCAAGGCAACCCGCAGGAACGTGTGGGCGCCGCTTTTCCCCCCAAGTCTTCTGGGCATCGCTCTGGCGCATTCGGCAAACCTCGACGGCCGATTGTGCGTCAGGGCCCGGTGAGCCCAGCGAAGGATTTCCATATCTCTTCAGAGACTCATCTGGGCATGGCAGCAGACACGGAGAGACGAGTCGGTGCGGGGCCAAGAGGGCACATGCGGCGAGTCTGGTGAAACATATGATATCACGGCCTTCTCGTGGTCTTGCATGAGCGCTTTTGCGCTGTATAGTACCATGATGATTGTCAACGTACTAGCCGTGGTGAGCTGTCTGCCTTTATGTTATTATCAATTTCAAACACGGCATGGTAGCACTATTGACGGTTCTGTGGCATGTATTCCATATATACCCGTCAGGAGACCATGCAGAGTCGCCAAGCAGGGGGTCGACCAGAGGCTAAGGGCTACGGGAAACGTAAATATATAGGCTACGGAGGGCCCTCTAAGCTATAGAGGGCTAGAACTTAGATATATTCTGACCCCCTACCTATCTTCTATCTACCTGCGGACCACGTGTGGAAGACCTCTTCACGCTGTTCTAACAACGCTCTGACAACCCCTATCCTGAAGACCCTCCCGAAAATAGTCCCAGTCGAAAGTCGCCATACAGGCTTAATGTCAATACTTGATTTGGAGCAGAGTGAAAAGGTCTCTCACAACCGCAGGCATAATAATATCGGTAGGGGGTCGGAACAAATCTGAATCCTGGCCCTACGCAGCGTAGAGCGCCCTCCACGGTCCTTATATATACGCTCTCTTAACTTCTGGCCCCTGACTAGCCCCCCGTGCCGTGGCTCCGCAGGGTCTCTTGATGCTTAAACCTGCAGGTCATCTGATGGGTCAAGATGCCAAAATGCTTCCTCCGGGGCTATCATTTCTGCAGTGCAGGCCACGAGAGATTTGTGACCACGTGCGGCGAGCATGGGGCTGACCTGCCAGGTATGAATATGCGGTCGTACAGCATGGCGTGAAGGTGCAGGCGCTGTCCCGACTAAGAGTAGCCCAACATTGCCCTGGAATATTCAACCAAGGACCTACGCCCTATGTGATATCGTAGTTGAAGGCCCGCTCCTGAATAGCTCATAGCTTCAACTTCTGCCCTCTTCCAGTCTCGGGCCTGCCTTGCCAACCCGTACTGGTGTCCACGCGTTGACTTACTTCGACCTTGGCTGTGTTTGCTAGAGTTTCACAGAGCGTTGATAGTCAGGGGAGAAACTTAAATCAGGCTATAACACAGACCGTTTCCAACTCTGATCAGGCGTTCAGGAAGCATGTATGACCCGTCCGGAGGCGAATGGGAGAATCCCTCGTCAGTAGGCGTGGAAATTCCATTGCAGAATGTGGTCACCCAAGTAGGCGTCGAAAATAGCACCCTGCAAGTGTTGCCTTCAAGACCTGCGCAGACATTGCTGTTCGAACCAGTCAGGAGTTGCGCGCCACGCGATCTCGCCGTTTTGTGTCCCCGGCTACATCAGTCACCAATGAATCGAATTAATATGTCTCCGGAAAGAGAAAAATTGGCATTAAATCTTGTCTTTGATCGACAACTTCAGGTTGAAAGTAATAACGCTCAAGAAATCATGGCTCGCCGGCCGATCGCTGTCCAGAAATGTGGGGGTCGCCGCCCCATAGAAGACGCCCCGTCGAGCGCAATCCAACAACTCTGATACTTCCTGCACCTCGTCGAGATGGATGACCGTTCTCATGTCGAAACCCAACTCGCCTAGCAAGGGGTCAAGACTAGAACGCTACGCACAAATGGTCTGCTTCTGGCTCTTCGCCGAGCCAGCTTGCTCAACAGCGTCGGCGTGGTTACGCTTCACTGTGCCGTGGCCGACCTGCTCTTCAGGTCTCGCCTGTCGGCTGCCAACGCTTTGCGCCTCATTGTCCAACCACCTGCTGATGGCAGGGTCATGGCACGCGGCGTGGCCGAGGAGGGCGTGCTTGACAAAGCGCACCTGCTCGGCGACCTCGGCATACTGCGACTGCAGGGCCGAGTGCTCAGCCTCGACACGCTGGCCCTCTGCCTGCAGGTCGGCGGCAGCTGACTTTTGCTTGCGCCAGTTGCGGGCCGAGGCGAGACGGTGGCGCTCACGGGAGGCAGGTCGATGCTCGGCGGTCGGCGAGGGAGGAGCCATGTCGTTGAGGCCAGCCAGAGAGGTCGAGGGGGATAAGGGAGGTGTTGGCGCAGTCAGTGTCGCATTTTCTGACGCCGAGACGGGTGAGACGGCGGCATACGCAGGTTTGTCGGCATGATAGACGTCCCAGGGCTGGTCGACACCGGCCTGCGGCACGCCCATGGTCTTGTTGGCCATTCTGTAAGCATCTGGGTTGTGCAATGTGAACATGGGGTTGACGCCTTGGCCCAGAGATATCGCATCGAGGCCGGCATAAAAAGAGCGTGTCGATTCGGATGGGGCCATGGAACCGACGCCTTGAGCCTGAGAGAGCCCAGACCAGGGCATGGAGAAGCCAGGGTCATATCCGCCTGAAGGCATGTTGGTGGCATTGAGCAGAGGTACAGCCTGTGACGACACGGTAGAATCGGGCTGCAAGAGATCGGTGGCCAGCTGCCTCGATCCAGAGTAAGACTGCGCAGACTCGGAGTTCGGGTCGGCAAAGGCACCATTGGCGTCGGGCAGATGGTAGGCGTCGAAGGAGGGAGACTGGTACCGTGATGAGGGCGGGGCTGTTGAGACTGCGTGGTGGCGGTCGTGCGTGCTATAGACGGGGCTCTGCGGCGACAGGAGGGCAAGCTGGGCTCGATCTTGGTTGGGGTTGGGGTTGGCGTCTTGGCGGCGCAGTTCCTCAATGGCCTCGTCCTTTTCCAGGTTCTTCTGTCTCAGGGCTGCAATCTCATCACGCAGGCTTCGTTTGGTGCGATAATGGCGGCTCTCATAGACGCAGTCAATGTTTCGCTGGGCGCATCGCGTGCATGGCCTGTCACCGCTGCACTGTGGGGCGAAATCAGTTGTGTGTCAACGCTAGGATGGGCGAGAGGCATGGGAACAGAGCTGAGGATATGCATACCTTTGCCTTCTTGTCCCGGCATGTGTCACAGGCTTCGCGCGTGCAGACGCGCGGCTTCTGCGACGAGGGGGACGGCGGTGAGGACGTTGGGGTAGCTGTCATGGTGAGGAGGATGTTGATTTTGGGGTTGATAGGCAGGCGAAGGGAGTCAGTCGCTGGTCGTGTTGCTTGTTTTGTTGGCAGGCAATACAGCAATACATATATAGACAGAGGGGCAGAACATGTGCTGGGTCAAATTACCCATGTTCCAAGGTCGACTGCCGGAAGAAGGGGGATCAAAACAAGCGTGCCAGGTTCCGGCTGCCGACCTCCATGTCGACTCTTTGATCAGGAACAAGCATCAAATACCCACCCACATTCGTCTTGTGCTCCTGATCCGTGCAAGCATCATGGCAGTGAGCCAAGTGGAATTCCGACACTCGAGTGACGGCGGGAGCGCATGCCTTCGACAGGGTCCAGTGTGTGACGACAAGGTGACGTGGTGGGGCCTCTCATAGGGGCATCAGCGTCGGCATCCAGGCAGAGGCTAGGGATGGTGCGCACAGACAGAGATAAGACGTTCTGGGTCGTTCAATTAGTTTTGGAGGAATCGGCCAGTCGAAATGGGCAGAGTGCGTGACAAGGGCTAGCGTGATAATGATAACCATGGAGCATGGTCGTCGATGTTCATGATGATTAGCTTTTTTTTTTTTTTTTTTTTTTGGCGTGCCATATTGAGCTCGTCTCGTTGGTGGGGAAGGTGAGAGGGGGGCGGGGGGAGGTCAGCAGGGCGCAAAGGCAACAGCTACCGGGGCAAAACGTCAGGATGCGTGGGGCAAGGGCGGGTCGTGGTGGGAAGACTCCACATTTAGGGTCCTGCCACAGGCACCTACCCCCTGAAGTACCCACTGTACCAAGGGAGGCAGACACCCTGACACCCTAGAACCCGTACGAAGCAAGTACCGTTCCACTGCACCGTTTACCAGCGCTCCAGTCCCCGCCACCCCGCGAACTGCTGTTAAAAGAGGTACGGAGAAGGTTCGGAGAGGGGCCCCTCCAGCTGGATGGCGGCTCCATGTCTCGTTGTTTGCCCACACGGTCCATGGACATTAGATTCACTGCACACACCTCGCGAGCTGAGACAATGATGCAAGATGGCTTCGAGAATCATGCTTGATTTTTCTGGATTTTTGAGATGAGCGGGCGGCCAGCAATTCACAATGTCAAGGACCAGCTTGCATACCTGTCGCCTCGACGCCGAGGTCTCGTCCCCGTACCCCGCCGCCCCATCCATCCTATACATAAGGTAAGCTTGATCAGGTACCAACCTATCTACCTAGGTACCTTACCTACGTAGGAACATGTCGTGCCGTTTCCATCAGGCTCCCTCGGCAGATCTCCATGCTGGTCCTCATCCCATTCTGGTCCTCCCTCGTGTCACATCCGGATTCTTTGACATCGAAGCACACTAGCACCCAGAGATCAGCACGCCGGAGACGACTCCGGCTCTCCCGGCACGTCGTTGGGTCCCCTGCCTTGAGCATGCAGCACACAGCGTTGGGCACATTGGCGAATGTGATTCAACCGTGACATGGCAAAGAGGGTTTTTGGTCCCCTCTCCGCTAGGATCATGTTGCCCTCATGCTTGGGGCATGCCTTCGTAGTGGCGACCGTCTTCGGCCGTCATCTGCACTTGCGTTTTATACGGTTGGTACCTACGTAGAGGTACCTCGGCTTGCTAGGCAGGTAGGAAGGAGGTAGGAAGGAGGTAGGAAGGAGGTAGGAAGGAGGTATGAAGGAGGAAGGCGATGTCGATTCGCACCTGACACAGACGCCAAGTGCTCCTCCGTCTCCAACGCTGTTTCCAACATCCCCAAGCGCAACCCAGGCAGACCCAACTCAGCCGGACCAACTCCGTACATCTGCCCTCTTCCCTCTCTCCATCACAGCCTCGTCACCCTCCCCACGCCGAGACCGAGCTTCTCCTCCAGTAGTCGAACGCCGTGCTCTGCCGAGCCCCAGGAAGCCTGATAGCCGGCGCCAGAGTGCCCGTAATTGTGCAGTACAACAAGACCGGCCTCGCCCCCGCCTCCGCCAGCCGCCCCCTCACCCTCACCCTCGCCCTCAACCTCGACCTCTACCTTGACCTTGATTCTCTTCCCCCCTTTGAACTCTTGCCTTATCCCGACTCCTTGCTTAATGATCTTTGAGATCCTTCGGTCTCTTTTGTTCCTC